GGCAGAGAGATAAATGGAGTGTTTGCATAAACATGAATTAAGAGAGTCACACTCAAAAAGAATTGTTCCCTGTTGAGAACAGCAAGCATCTGGAAGAAATTAAATGGGGGAAGATGGTGGGTGGTGTGGTGATGTGGGCGAGAACAGACTGTGCCTGTTAGAAGGAGATCATTCACTTCTGGGGTAAGTGATCCCCCAAAAGGGAGGCTGCTCTGGGCTTATACAACAGGATTTGATGCCCAAAGAGTATTTACGCCCCCAGATCATTTCTGTTATGATTAGCCGGGGTACCTAAAATGTCACTGTGGCAAGCCGGAATGGCCATGGCATACTCAGCCCCACGTTGGGTGCCTAATGTGCTGCACCAGCGGAGCCAGGTTCGGTGACCCTGAGAGGGGGCGGTGAAGGATGGAGAAAAGACAGACAAGAGAAGAAAGCTGGGTCTGGGTGGGACGCTGCTCCCGGATGGAGAGACAGCACCACCGACTACAAGCCACGTCTTTATTTTATAGCCAGATTCCAGGAGGCAAAGAAAGGGTGTGGTCAAAATGTTTACAACATTCTCGTGGGTTTGGATCCTACTCAATTACATGCACCTGAACTCTATCAAGCCCACATCACTCAGGCACGTGGGGCCACGTGTTCGGACCATAGGTCAAGCTTACAGCTAGAGCTGTTGGCTATAATTGTGTGGGAGGGCTTTGCCCTCCAAGCTGGGACTCGCATGTGGCCATGAGAGGACTGTGCCCTCTCATTAGTCCAAGGCTTGAACCTGTTCAAACACTGTAGCCTCTCTCCACACCTAAAATGTCACCCTAGCCAGTTTGGCTCAGTAGATAGAGCATCGGCCTGCAGATTGAAGGGTCCTGGGTTCAATTCCAGACTCAATCCCCAATAGGGGGCATGCAGGAGGCAGCCAATCAATGATTTTCTCTCATCATTGATGTTTCAATCTCTCTCTTCCTCTTCCTTCCTCTCTGAAGTCAATAAAAATATATTTAGAAAAAATAAATAAATAAAACGTCTATCTCATTCCTTTGAGCTAACGCACTGCCTTGAAAAGGCCACTTCCAAAATGCACATACACTTACAAAAAAATAACAAGGCACCGTTTCATATCGGTAAAATTCACAGTATGAAGATTGTAATACTCAGTGCACTGAGGTTTCACTGAAACAGGAACACTTAAAAATCTATAATTTACACATACCTTCTATCGTGTAGGTATAACTTTTGGGAAGTGCTTTGGCTGGAATTTTTGAGTCATAAAAATGTCTATACCTGTTGTTAGTAGATCAGTAGCTCCAACTTCTGGGAATTTATTGCTAGGAAACTTTTCAAAAGAAGGAGAGACCTTTCTGCATGTCTTTTCCATGATAAAAAAAAAAAATTCAATAGTAAGAGACTGGGTAATTTACAGCACATCCCCTAGGTCAGTGATGGCGAACCTTTTGAGCTCGGCGTGTCAGCATTTTGAAAAATCCTAACTTAACTCTGGTGCCGTGTCACATATAGAAATTTTTTGATCTTTGCAACCATAGTAAAACAAAGATTTATATTTTTGATATTTATTTTATATATTTAACTGCCATTTAACAAAGAAAAATCAACCAAAAAAATGAGTTCGCGTGTCACCTCTGACACGGGTGTCATAGGTTCGCCATCACTGCCCTAGATAGACTCTCCTGCAGTCATCAAAATTATAAAAGGCAGAGAAAAGGGTGGAAAAATGCTTATGAAATAATCATATTAGGTTAAAAAAAAAACCCCTGAAAATCAAATTGCAAAGATTGGATCTGCATATGGATGGAACTAGAAAGTGAAAACAGGCCCTGGCCGGTGTGGCTCAGTTGGTTGGGCATTGTTCCCAGTCGGGGGTGGGGAGGGGAGGGCGTGTACTAGAGGCAGCCAATCAATGTTTCTCTATTTTCTCTCCCTCTCCCTCTCTCTCTCTAAAAATCAATTTTAAAAATCTTACAAAATAAATGAAGACAGAAAGAAAACAGAGTGCTTTGTTGGAGAGTGTGGGATTGTAGAAGAATTATTTTATTTCTTTTATTTGGATTCATGTTTATATTGGTTGTGCAATAAACAATAATGAAAGATCCAAACAAACTCTCTAGGGAGGGGTGGCTGATTGTCAGTCATCACCATACAGGCAAGTTTCCATCCAGGTTCCTGGACAGAGAGAAGGGCCCTAGAGCTGGTAGGTTCTCTGAGGAAGGGGCCAGTGGGCAAGGCCAGGGGCCTCCTAGGGAACAGGGTACCAGTCGGGTGTGGGGACCACCTGAAGAGGGAAGGAGGGGCTGGTGGAGCTGGAAGAGAGTTGGAGTAAGTGAAATTGTCTACTTGATGGTGGTCCCTCTGCTTGGCCTGGGGAAATGGAGTCTTAAATCAATCCTGTGACTTAACTCAAGTAGGTTGCACTGTTATCTCAGTCACTCACAATCCCATTTGAAAACCAGAATTACAGAAACTCAGAGTATTCTCACTAGTTCTGATCCACTGCCGTTTCTCTTTGAACTCCAGGGACATGGTGAGCAGAGACTGACACAATATCAGACTTGCTGTTTTCCAACTGTCCTGTCGCTAATATTTATCAACCAATCTGAGTCAAATACTGGACAGGCACACCAGCTTTACAATTGAACCCTGGGCCCATGTTTCCCTCTTCAGACAAACACCTCATGCCAGTGACTTCCTACTATTCCTCGTGGAGAGGTTCCTTCTCTTGGTTGTAAGCAGCTACATCAATGTTTCTTCCCCTCTCTCTCCTACTCTCCCCAAAAAATCAATGGAAAAATATCTTCAGGTGAGGCATTAAAGGGTGAGGATTAACAAATAAAAAAAATTTGAATCCGGGCCTATGATGATTTCTTAAACGGACAGCTCCTGTGGTTACTTGGGTTGCGATTAAGTCATGGATCCATTTCCCCAGAACCTTTATTTGTATTGACAGCTCTCTGGTTAAGTTTCCAGAGTGGCAGAGCAGTGGAGTGAATCACTGAACTAGGAGTCAGAAAACAGGCCATTGGACAGATCACATATACTCTCCTGGCCTCAGTTCCTTCATCTGTAAATTGGGGAAAATTGTCCCCAAAGACTGCATAGACCCAAATCCAACGGTGAAAGTCTGAAAAACCAGATGAAGCTAAACAGAGCTCAGTTTTGGCCACATTAATAGAAGTATCATGTCCATAATAAAGGAGCTGATTCTTCTACCATATTTTGCCCAATCTGTCTACATCTTGGAAAACCACATGTAGATCAAGCGCCACCTTTTATACGGGGATAGTGACATACCGGAGTATGTGCAGAAGAGAACAGCCAGGATGTATGGACGCGTAGGACCTTGTCACGAGAGAACATTGTAGAAACTTGCAGTTTTAAACCAGAAACTTATCACATAACAAAATGATGGGGGAAATTTTTCACTAGCTCTACCTGACCCCAGAAGGCAGGATTAGTAGATAGAAACTATAGGGAGGCAAATTTCAAGTCTGAACAGAATGCAGAATGTTCTAATTGAACCACCTAAAGGTGGAGAGATGGTTGTAAGCACAGGCTGGGTGACCTCTTGGCAGTGTGATCTTGGAGAGAGAGAAGTTGCAGTCGGGCTCTGAGGCCCCATCGGGCCCAATGAGCCCCTGAATCTAACCCGAAGTGGCTTATCTCCTCCAGAGGGGCCACCGTGAATGCTTGTGCTTCCAGAAGCCTCGCGGAAGGATTGCCACAGCTGGTCTGCACGCGGCCCAAGCACCCTCACAGCCAATCTTCTCCCCTCCCACCCTGAGGTTCTGGAAGAATGCTATTCTATCAGAATGTTCTCACTGTTTTAACAAATTGTATACCAAGTTCCCCAGCTCTCTCTAGTCTAAGACTTCCAAGGCAGAATTCCCTCCGTGCCTCATCTGCCCCACCTCCGGCTCTGGTTGTCATTTCTCTAGCGCGCAGACCAGAGAGGGAGATGGCTATGGACGGCACACAGCAAACAGGCAGCGAGGATCCCTAGACATCCCAGGGCCAGTGTGCCCAACCCAGTGCAGCCCATGAGCTTCCGGGAGACACCGGATGCCAGATTTTAATGCTTAAGATGCACACCCCTCCCCTTAGATGGTGAAATAGCTGCTTACAACCAAGAGAAGTAACCTCTCCACGAGGAATAGTAGGAAGTCACTGACATGAGGTGTTTGCCCGAAGAGGGGAACATGGGATCCAGAAGAAGGATCGGAGGAGGCAGAGAAGGGAGGGTGTTAATATAAAAGCGTGTGTACCCGTCCAGAGGAGCCCTTGCTGCAGGAGATGAGCCAGAGGGAAAGGGACCCTGAACTCAGGAGCCGGGAAATGAACTGTTGCCCAGAGCCTGGCTGAGTCTGCTGCGGGCGTGGTTCCTGCAGGCAGTGCGGGAGCAGGCTTGTAGGGGAGCACCCGGGTTCTGGAGCAAGCAAGCCATCTGGCTCCATGACTTCCTTGCTGGGCTACCTTGGGCCCCTTTAAGAGCCCTCATCGTGAAAGAGGACAAGAATGGTACCCGCCTCCTTGACTTGAGAGGATAACAACACACAGGATCGTAGGCGTAGCCGCATGACACTGCTGATACCTGACCATCTTCAACACAGAGAAATGACCACACCATAGGGATCAACCTCATGCATCTGGTTCAGTGAGCACAGTGTGCCCAAACTAGCCTGGACCTTGGCATTACCTCTGGCCTCTTAAACATTCCAAAGCCCAGGTCACACCCAGACCACTCCAATCACAGGGTCTGAAGGTGGGACACCTGGCCAGGTGATCCTAATGGGCAGACAAGTGTGGGGGCCATTGGCTGAGTGAGCACAGTGGCTGGTTTCTATTTAAGGCACTCAGCCACAGCCACCTCTGCTTGCCCTTCAACCCGGCATGCAAGAGCACCTATTCTATGCCAGGTTTTGGCCGGGTCTGCCTCTGGGGACCCGAGGACCTCCCTCGTGGCACTCATGTCTCGCCCTCCTCATTCTCAGTGTCCAGGCCTCGGAGCTCCCCAGACGACCTGAAGGTGCTGACTCTCAACGTGAACCGGCTGAACGAGAGCTTCAGGGACTTGCAGCTGCGGCTCCTGCAGGCCCCGCTGCAGGTGGACCTGACGGAGCAGGTGTGGAAGGTGCAGGACGCGCTCCAGAACCAGTCGGACTCGCTGCTG